GGAGGCCGGGGCCGGAGCGGGAGGAGGCCGGAGCTGGAGCTGCTGGAGGCACCTTGGACCCGGGATGGTGGAGGGTGCCCAGGGCACCCCGGGGTGGCCGAGGATCCTCGAGGTGCAGCAGATCCGGGGTGCCAGAGCGCGCTCCAGCCACAACGGAGCCGGGATGCCCGAGGGTGCTCGAGACACGGTGGAACCAGGAGGCTGGAGGATGGTCCTGGTGCGCTGGGGCCAGGAGATGCTCAGGGCACACCGGAGCTGGGATGCCGGAGGATGCTCGGGGCACACCAGAGCCAGGAGATGCTCAGGGCACACCGGAGCCGGGATGCCAGAGGATGCTCGAAGCAAACTGGAGCCAGGATGCTGGAGGATGCTCAGGCACACCGGAGCCTGGAGATGCTCAGGGCACACTAGGACCAGGATGCCAGAGGCTCCTGGAGGCACACCGGGATGCCAGAGGATGCTCGAGGCAGGCTGGAACCAGGATGCCGGAGGATGCTCGGGCACACCGGAGCCGGGATGCCAGAGGGTGCCCAGGGCACCCCAGGGTGGCCAAGGATCCTCGAGGTGCACCAGATCCAGGGTGCCAGAGCACGCTCCAGCCACGACGGAGCCGGGGTGCCCGAGGATGCTCGAGACACGATGGAGCCAGGATGCTGGAGGATGCTTGGGCACACCAGAGCCAGGAGATGCTCAAGACACACCGGAGCTGGGATGCCGGAGGCTCCTGGAGGCACACCAGGATGCCAGAGGATGCTCAAACACACCAGAGCCAGGAGATGCTCAGGGCACACTGGAGCCAGGATGCCAGAGGATGCTCGGGGCACACCAGAGCCAGGAGATGCTCAAGACACACTGGAGCCAGGATGCCAGAGGCTCCTGGAAGCACACCAGGATGCCAGAGGATGCTCGGGCACACCGGAGCCGGGATGCCAGAGGATACTCAAGGCACACCAGGAGGCTGGAAGATCCTCAAGGCACACCGGAGCCGGGATGCCAGAGGGTGCTTGAGCCACGATGGAGCCAGGATGCCAAAGGATGCTCAGAGCACACCGGAGCTGGGATGCCGGAGGCTCCTGGAGGCACACCGGGATGCTGGAGGATGCTTGAGGCACTCTGGAACCAGGATGCCGGAGGATGCTCGGGCACACCAGAGCCAGGAGATGCTCAGGGCACACCGGAGCCGGGATGCCGGAGGCTCCTGGAGGCACATGGGGATGCCCAAGGATGCTCGAAGCACGCTGGAACCAGGATGCCGGAGGATGCTCGGGGCACACCGGAGCCGGGAGATGCTCAGGGCACACCGGAGCTGGGATGCTGGAGGATGCTCGAAGCAAACTGGAGCCAGGAGATGCTCAAGACACACTGAAGCCAGGATGCCGGAGGCTCCTGGAAGCACACCAGGATGCCAGAGGATGCTCGAGGCAGGCTGGAACCAGGATGCTGGAGGATGCTCGGGCACACCAGAGCCGGGATGCCAGAGGCTCCTGGAGGCACACTGGGATGCCAGAGGATGCTCGAGGCAGGCTGGAACCAGGATGCTGGAGGATGCTCGGGCACACCAGAGCCGGGATGCCAGAGGATACTCAAGGCACACCAGGAGGCTGGAAGATCCTCAAGGCACACCGGAGCCGGGATGCCAGAGGCTCCTGGAGGCACACTGGGATGCCAGAGGATGCTCAAAGCACACTGGAACCAGGATGCCGGAGGGTGCTCGGGCACACCGGAGCCAGATGCTCAGGGCACACTGGAGCTGGGATGCTGGAGGATGCTGGAAGCAAACTGGAGCCGGGGGTGCTGGAGGCACACCGGGGAGGCCGGAGGAAGCCGGGGGCGATGGGGGGGATGTGCCGGAGCCAGAGGCAGCGCTGCTGGAAGCACCCCCAGAGCCTGGAGGCTCCCTGGAGCTGGGGATGCTGGCACTGGGGGTGCTGGAACCAGGGACTGCCCCTGCAGGGCCCCATCCTGTCCCCCCGGCCCCAGCTCCCGCTGCAGCTCCAGCCCCACACGCGCTGCCCCACCACCACCTCCCGTGTCCCCCCCCTTCACCCACCCCCTTGGGGCCGGCGGAGCTGGGGACACCCACAGGGACGTGTCCCCAGCCCAGGGTGACACAAAACTATCGGACATATCCTGGGACAGGGAGGCTCAGGGCGTGTGGGGCAGGATGGGGACAGTTGGGGACACCCACCACAGCGTCACCAGCCAGACCCAGCAGGCACAGAGGGGACCTCGGGGTGACTGCATCCACCACGGCTCCTCCACCCCTTGGTCCCCCGCTGTCCCCAGCGCCACTGTCACCATCCCCAGCCCCCCCACCCCCCGTCCCTGAGCCCCCAGGTCCACGGTGGGGCGAGAAGAAGCTTTTTTAAAAAGCCATAAGGACACAACCCGGCTGGGGGGGGGGGGCCGGGCAGCCGCTGGCGTGGCAGTGAGAGGGTGGGCGTCACAGTCACCCGTGGCCCGAGGCCACGCGGCTCGGTGGCCAGTTTGGCACAGGCAGCCGGAGCTGGGGGGCTGCCGGGGGGGCTGCCGGCTGCCCCGTGGAGGGGGGGGGAGCTCCCGGCGAGGAGGTTGGCACGAATCCTTGTGCGGCCCCGGGCGGCTCCTTCCCTGCAAATGGTGCTGAACTCGATGGCGTCGAAGACTTTGGGCGAGACGGCGTCACTCGGCCGGACGAGGACCTGCCGTGGGGGCGGAGGGGGACAGTCAGGGTGATGCCACCAATCCTTCTTCCCCCTCCTCCCCCCCCCCCTCAATTTTGGGTCCCCACCTCGCTCCTCCCGGTGCTAATCCACGTCCCCGTTCTGCTTGTGCCGGGCGGGGGCCGGGGGCGGTTGGTCCTCACAGGGGGACAGCTCATCGATGGACGCCTGGTTGGTGATGCCTTGGGGGGGACACGGGGATGGGGGGGTCACTGCAGCTCCCACAGGGGCTGAGACCCCCCATGGCTCATCCCCCCGGCCAGGGGCCACCCACCCCATGGGTCTGGTGGTCACCCAGCCCACAGGTTCAGGGATCACCCACCCCATGGGTCTGGTGGTCACCCAGCCCACAAGCTCAGGGATCACCCACCCCACGGGTCTGGTGGTCACCCAGCCCACAGGTTCAGGGATCACCCACCCCACAGCTCACCCACCCTGGTGGTCCTGGAGACCACCTCCCCATGTGAGGTCCAGGGGTCACACCACCTGCTGGTCCTGGGGACCACCTCCCCAGCTGTGGTCCAGGGGCCACCTACCCTGCTGGTCCTGGGGGCCACCTCCCCATGTGAGGTCCAGGGGCCACCTACTCTGCTGGTCCTGGGGACCACCTCTCCATGTGAGGTCCAGGGGCCACCCACCCTGGTGGTCCTGGGGACCACCTCCCCAGGTGTGGTCCAGGGGCCACCCACCCTGCTGGTCCTGGGGACCACCTCCCCATGTGAGGTCCAGGGGCCACCTACTCTGCTGGTCCTGGGGACCACCTCTCCATGTGAGGTCCAGGGGCCACCCACCCTGGTGGTCCTGGGGACCACCTCCCCATGTGAGGTCCAGGGGCCACACCACCTGGTGATCCTGGGGACCATCTCCCCACCCAGGGATGCTCAGCACAGACCTGGCCCCAGGATGGTCCCCATCCCCTCCTGGGTGGCCCTGGTGGCCGTCACCTACCGCTGGCTGCCCTCTCCTTCCACTTCTGCTTGTTCTCCTGGATGTACTTGGCCCAGGTGGAGCGGAAGCCGGCCAGGTCGGCTTTGATGTCCCCCAACTCCAGGTGCTCATCCAGGGACGTTTGCCGCCACTGCGAGCTGCGGGGACAGGGAGAGCTGGGAGCAGGACAGAGCCACCACCACCGCCACCTCCCAGCTCCCCAAAAGAAGTGGGTGCCTCCCCCCACCTCCCCGTGGGGAAGGGGAAACTGAGGCAGGGTGGCGGGGCCGACCTGGGCTGCTGGTTGGCCGCCGGGTTGCCCTTGGCTTTGGTGCGGTCCTCGGCGAGGGGCAGCACCAGCTTCTCGGCCACGTCGGTCAGCACCGAGAAGGTGGGCTCCACGATGAAGTCGATGAAGCCTGGGGGTGAGGAAGGAAGGGATGTGGGGACCATGGGGACACCCCCTGCCCACCGAGGGGGTGGTGGGTGGGGATGGAGACCTCCCCATCGACTCACCAATCTGGGACTGGGCCACCAGCGTGGAGGTGCGGTCGCAGAGGGGGGAGAAGGGCAGCCCCAGCTCGGCTTCCTTGTCCCCCTGGCAAGGCAAGGGAGATGTGTCCCCACGGGGTGGTCCCCGTGTCCCACCACCCATCCCTGGAGCAGGGGGGGGACACACGGGCACCCTACCTGCCTGAAGAACTCCTCCATCAGGGCTTTGGTCCAGCGGCTGTGGACCGACCACTGCTTGGTGGGGTGGCTGATGTCGGCCGCGTGCAGCAGCAGCGACAGCACCTTGGACTTATCGATCCTGGGGAAGGGACCCCCCCACCCAAGTTGCTGAGATTTGTCCCCAAAGCCACCTCCCCCTTCCCTGAGGTGGCCCTCCCCTCCCCCCCCCATCTCACCTCTCCAGCTGCTGCAGGGACGTCTTCATGGACTTGACCTGCTGGAAGTGGCAGGACATGTCGGTGGCCAGGACCATCTCGATCACCAGCGCCCGCAGCTCCCTGCGCCCCGGGGGAGGGGGAAATGCCATCAGGGCCCCGTGTCCCAGTCGGGGACAGGGATGGGGACGGGGACAGGGACGGGGACGGGGACAGGGACCTTACGCAAACTCGTCCTTGGTGAGGTTGACAAAGATGTTCATCTCATCGTCCTGCATCATGCGGAAGACGGCGCTGATGTGGTGGTTCTCCAGCACCGAGCGGTCGTTGTAGAGGATGGCACATTCCGACCTGGGGACAGAGGGGACACTGGGGGACACGGCGTGGCAGGGGGCAGCCTGAGCACCCCACATTCCCCCCCCTCGGGGAGAGGGATGTCTCCATGGTGCCAACACGGCCATATCCTGGTCATATCTGTGGCCCTGGGTGTCCCCAAGGTGCCAGCACATCTGTGTCCCAGCCATACTGGTGGCCCTGAGTGTCCCCAAGGTGCCACCATATCTGTATCCTGACCACATTGGTGGCCCTAGGTGTCCCCAAGGTGCCACCATATCTGTATCCTGACCACATTGGTGGCCCTAGGTGTCCCCAAGGTGCCACCATATCTGTATCCTGACCACGTTGGTGGCCCTAGGTGTCCCCAAGGTGCCACCATATCTGTATCCTGACCACGTTGGTGGCCCTAGGTGTCCCCAAGGTGCCACCATATCTGTATCCTGACCACGTTGGTGGCCCTAGGTGTCCCCAAGGTGCCACCATATCTGTATCCTGACCACGTTGGTGGCCCTAGGTGTCCCCAAGGTGCCACCATATCTGTATCCTGACCATATTGGTGGCCCTAGGTGTCCCCAAGGTGCCACCATCTGTATCCCAGCTGTACTGGTTATACTTGGGTGTCCCCAGGTGCCAGCACGTCTGTCTCCTGACCATACCAGGGACACCTGAGTGTCCCCAAGGTACCAGCACATCTCTATGCCAGCCATAACGGTGACACCGGGTGCCCTGGGTGTCCCCTGGTGCCAGCACATCTGTGTCCCAGCCATACCAGTGGCCCTAGGTGTCCCCAAGGTGCCACCATATCTGTATCCTGACCACGTTGGTGGCCCTAGGTGTCCCCAAGGTGCCACCATCTGTATCCCAGCACTACTGGTTATACTTGGGTGTCCCCAAGGTACCAGCACGTCTGTATGCCAGCCATAACGGTGACACCGGGTGCCCTGGGTGTCCCCAAGGTGCCACTCAGCTCCTTTCCATGCCCCGCAGGGTCCCAGTTGTCCCCATCACAGGTCCCCAGCCCTGCCCACGTTGTGCCAGGCCACGTGTGCCATGCCATGCCATGCCACCTGCACTGCTCCATGTCACCTGCACCGTGACATGCCATCTCACCCACGCCGTGCCATGCCAACTACTGGTTATACTTGGGTGTCCCCAAGGTACCAGCACGTCTGTATGCCAGCCATAACGGTGACACCGGGTGCCCTGGGTGTCCCCAAGGTGCGTACCTTGAAGCGGCTGTTGAGGTTGTGTCGGGTGAAGAGCTCGAAGACGATGGTCCTCAGGGCGTGCTCCTCCGTCACCCGGTTCAGCGCGAAGACGTCGAAGCACCACAGGTCCAGGTTCTGGGGGGGGGGGGGGGGGGCCCCGGGGGGGGCCCCCCCGGGGCCGGGGGAAGGGGGCCCGGGGGCACCC